AAATTCCAATCAGTGGTTAAGAAGAAGAAATTGTTGACGGACGGACGACGGACGGACAACGGACGACGGACGCCACGGTATGGCATAAGCTCACCTTGGTCCTTCGGACCTGGTGAGCTAATAAATGTTGGTCCAAAATGTGATTTCCCTATATAAACTATATTAAGTTTAACCCCTCCCCAGGGGGAAACGTGAGACCCCAGGGTCATGAAATTCACAATTTTGGTAGAGCACCTTAAGACCCTTCCATCTATGAAGAGTGTTTGATTCTACCATATCTGGGTCTCTGAGAAGAAGATTTTTTGAAATTTCAGTCAATTCAACCCTTTTTGGCCCCACCCATCAGCCCCTGGGGGTCAGTCAGGGCTCATGGGTGCATACTATCAAACTGCTACCTAATACTGAAAATGCTAACCTAAATTGAATTACTTCCAATGGAAATTAAACAAATGTGGGTCCAAAATGTGATTTCCCTATATAAACTATAATAAAGCTTACCCCCTCCCCACTGGGAAACTCGAGACCAGGGTCATGAAATTCACAATTTTGGTAAAGCACCTTTACAACCTTCTATTTATGAAGAGTATCCGATCCTACCATATCTGGATCTTGAGAAGAAGATTTTTGAAATTTTAGTCAATTTTACCCTGTTTGACCCGCCTTTCAGGCCCCTGGGGGCTGGGGACCGAAGGTTTCTGCAAAAGTTCATTGAAATTGGTTCAGGGGTTTTGAAGAAGAAGTTTAAAAAATGCAAATTGTTTACGGACACATGACGCCGGACAAAAGGCGATTGCAATAGGTCACTTGAGACTTTGTCTCAGGTGACTTAAAACAAGAGGCCCAAGGGCCTTAGCGGTCACCTGAGTTATATCACAGGTACTGGTAGCTTTTATTTTTTTGTTTAGATGTGATGTGGAAATCAGCATGTAAACTAAGTGAAATACAATACTTGTCATGTCTTCAAAGGAGAAGAATTTGAAAATATTGGTAAATGTTCCCTTTGGGGCCCCACCCTAGCCCCTGGGGAGGGGGAAGGAATCCCAATTTTACAAAGTAATACTCTCATTCACCAAAGATGATTCTGACTAAGTTTGAGTAATTTTCTGCTGAAAATGGATAAAATATACCCAAAAGTGTTATTTCCCTATATAAACTATAGTAAACTTTACCCCCTCCCCAAGGGAGAACGAATATCTTAGGGGAACAGAAATTTACAATTTAAGTAAAGCCCCTGATGATCTTTCTTTCCATGCAGAGAAAATGACTGTAGTACCTCTGAGTCTGGAGAGGAAGACTTACGAAATACTGGTTAATTTTCCCTTTTGGGCCCCACCCTGGCCCCTAGGGTTGGGGTAGGAATTTCAATTTTACAATTTGAAACCATCTTCTTCAAAGAATAATTCTCACCAAGTAAAAATAATTTCCTACAGAAAATTGTCAAAATATACCCAAAAGTGGTATTTCCCTATATAAACTATAGTAAACTTGACCCCCTCCCCAAGGGAGAACGAATAGCTCGGGGGTCCTGAAATTTACAATTTAAGTAAAGTCCCTGATGATCTTTCTTTCCATGCAGAGAAAATGACTGTAGTACCTCTGAGTCTGGAGAGGAAGACTTACGAAATATTGGTTAATTTTCCCTTTGGGGCCCCACCCTGGCCCCTAGGGTTGGGGTAGGAATTTCAATTTTACAATTTGAAACCATCTTCTTCAAAGAATAATTCTCACCAAGTAAAAATAATTTCCTACAGAAAATTGTCAAAATATACCCAAAAGTGTTATTTCCCTATATAAACTATAGTAAACTTGACCCCCTCCCCAAGGGAGAACGAATAACTTGGGGGTCCTGAAATTTACAATTTAAGTAAAGTCCCTGATGATCTTTCTTTCCATGCAGAGAAAATGACTGTAGTACCTCGGAGTCTGGAGAAGAAGATTTTTGAAATATTGGTTAATTTTCCCTTTGGGGCCCCGCCCTGGCCCCAGGGGTTGGGGTAGGTATCTCAATTTTATAATTTGAAATCATCTTCCTCCAAGGATAATTCTCACCAAGCAAAAATAATTTCCTACAGAAAGATGTCAAAATATACCCAAAAGTGTTATTTCCCTATATAAACTATAGTAAACCCCCTCCCCAGCAAAGCTCAGGTGACCAAAAAATACCAAAGATTACATCTACAACACAAAAACTAGTACAAGGGAGGCAAATCGACATCAGATCAATTCAATGCATATGGTTTCAAAACACTAGTAATGTTATCTTTTTCAGTTTAGTGTTAGATCACAGGGGCTAATTGACACATGGAATATGGGCTGGTACAGGTATCCGATATATGATACTACTTTCCCTATACTTACCTATATCTCAAGTGTGTTAGATGGTGCAAAAAAAATCATAAATTTTGAGTATAGAAGACATTCTATATATGTATATGTCAGCAATTTATGACTTTCTCGCCTGCTTGTTCTAGAGATCAAATCTCCACTAAAGACCACCACATTTTCGTAAAAAACCTAACATACAACACATTTTTTTTTTACAAAATTCTTACAAATACAGAAAATTTATATCAACTTTCAATGTCATTATTCTGTTCAAACGACTTCATAAATACTTAAAATGTAAATGTGACAGCCCTTTCCCTAAATACTAACCAAGCAATAAGAAGTATGAAGGAGTAAAACAAATACAGTCGAACCTCGTTATCTCAAAGTCGACGGGATCGTTGGGAAACTTCGAGTTATCCGAGTATTCGAGTTAAGCGAGTTCCTATGTTTGGCATAAAGCTTGGTAAAGTTCCAATATGAGGCTATATATGTCATTGATTTCTCTGACAATCAACGTATTTAAACAGTCGATAAATGACAAAAAGATAACTTTATAGAATAAAAATATACAACTTATTCATAATCATATTCATTAATTAATTAATGTTACAATAAACACACATGCTGTCTCTGACCTCGTGCTATGCTGATAGAAATTTCAATGCGGAAATGAAAGTGCGCAAGTCTTTATACACTGTATTGGAGCGTACACGTTGGATTGCTCAGTTGATTTCGACATTCCGAAATGGGTATGAGTTAATCAGGAAACATATCCACATTTATAGACACTTGACATCTCCTCAACACGATGTAGTCAACAATAATTATCGTATTGTTCCTATAATCTCTCAATTAATTATCAATGCCATACAAGCTCCTGTAAAAACATAAACCAACGAACCAGTCCTAGGTTGTGATTTTTACTGTGGAGCTTATTTACGCATGACCGCACATGGGCTCGCAGTAAGTACTAATTGTTGTTAATCAACATTGATGAAGTTTGTTTCTTTATTTGTACAAAGTATTTTTACAGTCAAACACATTTTAATGCCGTAAGTTTAATCGAAGTAATTATGACTGAGCGTAAGCTGCTCTGAGAACAATGTTTACCATAGCAGTTCGTCTAATATGTATCAGATAATTAAAGAATATATGATAGACTTGTGAATCTTAAGAAACTTCGAGGTAGGAGATATTTTTATGTAGGATTTACGTTGTTGGAACCGATGTTTCACTTCGGGATATCGAGTTTTCAGAGTTCGAATTATCAGAGTTTTTATTAGTAAGATTAAGAAGAGTTTTGGCCGGGACCGATGAAATACTTCGAGTTAAACGGGGTCTTCGAGTTATACGAGTTCGAGATAACGAGGTTCGACTGTATGAACAAAATAAATATACTTTGAAATAATTTTTTGGCATTTTTCTACATATATTTTCTTAGCAAAATTAACTTGTACCAATCATAAAATCATTTAAATAGTCACCAGATATTTATTGAAAACAAGTTTTTAATTTTAAGCTTTTCTACACCTGAAGTACTTAGTCAATTGATTTTTCTTTTTTTTCAATTTCAATAAAGAGAAAATTGAAATTGAAAAAAAAAAAATGTTTAAATAAAATCCATATCAATGTTAATAAATTGAGTAATTTCATCTAGTACATGTTTGATAATTACACATATTATCATATTTTTTTTAATCAAAGTTAATCATCCTCACAACTGGTAATTAGGCCATGTAAAGATTTGATAAAATTATAACTAAGGGAGTATAAAGCTGTAGAGACATTGTACTGTAGGAGAAGGTTTTATAGTTCCTTGGGTATAGAGATCAAAAGCTTCAGCTAACTTTTTATCATATGAAATTCTTGGAGAAAATGCGGAGTATATATTTCATGTAAAATACTCGAGATCATAAAATTCTGTTTAAAATATCGGCTACCCCTTCTTTTTCTGAGTGACAAATAATGCCATCACATATTTCACAAGCAAAGTGCATACATCTAGATGTTTCTATTTACATAGCAAAGGCACAAGCATGGTCAGGTCCAATAACACATTGTGATTTTCAACAAGTTGCATTGTGTAAAAAAAACTTAAAACTACATAAAACAACAAGAGGCCCATGGGCCTTAACGGTCACCTGAGTCTACAGTATTTATTTCTGTTGTTGAAATATGTACCAATTGGAGTAAAAATAGTTAAGTATAACGTTAACTTAAGTTTGTCAGGACCATGAGCTGATCATTCCTGGACCGAGTTTCAGTTAAATCAGCCTAGTAGAACTTGATTTTAAGTTTGAAATAGTTTTTCAAAATGGCATCCATATTGGATTTCTAATCGACCCGAAAAATAACAACACTTTGTCAGGACCATGAGTTTCAGTTAAATTGGCCCAGTAGAACTTGACTTTAAGTTTGAAATAGTTTTTCAAAATGGCGGCCGTGGCAGCCACATTGGATTTCTGATCGAACCGAAAAATAACATCACATTGTCAGGACCATGAGTCGATCATTCCTACTAAGTTTCAGTTAAATCGGCCCAGCAGAAGTTGACTTTAAGTTTGAAATAGTTTTTCAAAATGGCGTCCGTGGCGGCCATATTGGATTTCTAATCGACCCGAAAAGTAACAACACTTGGTCAGGGAGTTGTCAGTAAGATTCCTATGAAGTATCAATGAAATCTTTTTGCCAGTATTTCAGCTTAAGTTGAAAATTTAAAATGTTAACGGACGACGGACAACAGGCGACGCATGACACACGACGGACAACGCTCAGGTGACCTAAAAACTGTGGCTGGCATAGTAAAAAAAATAACTTTTACAAAATTCTATCAATTCAATTCACATAGATACCCAAACTTTTTTTTTTCCTGAATTGAATATAAAAAATCCTGAATATTTGTTGAGAAATGAAATCAATATGAGTAATTGTCAATTTAGGACCAAATATGAATGGTAGTTGATGATAGGGGGATACATACAGCGTGTAATTATATAAGCTAGGGATATCATGGGATATCAATGATGTTTGAATTAAATCAGCCCGATACACACATTGTGATGACAGGACAGTAATTAAACGCACAAAGAGAAGATGAGACAATGACACATACACACAATCTGATGACATGTTGCACTATAGGTCACAACACACAATGTGATGAAGCAACAGTGACCCTATATAATACTAATTATAGCAATATGATATTTTGTGCATGGCTAGGGATTTATATTGAATGCTAGTATCACTAAAGAATAAAAGGGTATGATTTATGTTATATCTTCATATACTCCATTAATATTTACCAATAAGATCTTGCATTGGCTAATGATATCAACCAAAAATAGTCCATATATATATATATATTGTCACAACCGGGGGATATAGGGTTACCATAGGGAGGGGCCACACTGACAGGGACATACAACCCCAGGGCATAGCCTCACAACTTCATTTTCACATAATTAAGAGTCATCCCCTACACACTCTAACTTAAACATCTTCATCCTTCTATTCAAGTTTTTTCCTTGGGAATTTAAATTATATTTCCTCAAAGAAATGATTAATTCTTAATTAATTCAGAAATATTGAAAGGTTATCAAATGTTTCTTGTGGGGTTGTCCAGGTTTAAACTATGAAAGCATTAGTAAGGAAATCAATAATCAAGGTCAATGACAACATCAACAAAATCAATTGTTTACCTACATTGTACCTACATACATGTACCAACATACCCGTAACAGATAACTCTTCAATACACAACAAAAAATGTGAAAGCAGTGTGCTCGTGTAAAATTCAAATAGGGAAAGCATCAGGTTTGGTCATATATAAAAAGATTGTTTATTTACCGATTGTCACGATCAGTATGGTCAATCGTCACTACTATTGATGTTAACAAGTCGTAGATGAGCAAACCACCTATTTACATTATCATATTCAAATCATAATTTCAGCCCAGAGCACTTTAAAAATAAGATGACAGAGACACCTTTAACAAAATGTAGGTTGTGTCCGTTGCTGTAAAGGTGATGTAACTGTCGGACATATTCACAGGGAGAACTTGATAACTGTTCTTTTAATTTTTCTAAAACACTTGGACACTGTGTTGTCAGATTACGAGACTGAAGTGTCGGATATAAAGTTAACTAATAAATATTTTGTTAACAGGAGAGGGCCAGAATAGAGCATGTTTGGGAAAGGGGCGCTTATGTCATTTCTATATAGTGCCCAAAAAGGAGAGGGGGTGCTTATAACAGGTTGGAGGGGAGCTGTTTACAGCGAATAGGTTAGGGGGGGCAGAGAAAACCAGCACTACTGTGAACACATTCACCCAAGAAATCTTTCTCTAGATTTGTGGAAATATCAAACAAGTGAACAAATACTTTCACAAACATATCAAAAGCATGATCCAAGAATAACCTGTGTATTGTTAAAATTTGTCTACAGTTCGTAATAGTACTAATAAAATTTGAAAACCTATCAAGAGATAATATTTTTTAATTTCCTGATCCAAGTGTCCTAAAGTTGTAAACACTGATCACAGCGCAACCATGCTAATTATACAACATTTGTTCACATCGACTAACTAAATTAAAACTGAATCGTTTAAAACGTAAAATATTTCTATGAAATAGCTTGTAAAATTCTGTGTGGAGCCACCAGTGATTAAGGTTTCTTTAACAATTGTGCGATAGCTATCTTTCTGACAAATAAATGTACAAGAGGCTGCCTTTACGTGTGTGAGTCTGTGTTTTCTATGTAACCAAGCTTATTTTCTATAACTTCATATCTAAATGATTTCTAACTTCAATTTTTTTTTTCTATTTTCAAAAAAAAACTTCCTGAACATCAAATCTTAGAGAACAGCACTCATGTTCTGACTAGCCGATATAAGATAGCAACACATGGTAATCACATGTAGAAATATTCTAATTTTAACTGAATCCATGTAACGACAGGGGCGTAGCACATATACCAAATCCCACGGTACATAATACACATATATACATGGGCGGTGGAATTCAGGATCTGTGCCACCCCTGTGTAAGTAACTAAGGTTGTACAACGATCACATTACAGTTGAACAGGTTGCTCTGATTTAAAGAATCGTCTTTCACACAGGTTATAAAATTGATTTGAAAGTTTCAGCAAAATCTGTGGAGTCACAAGAGATGAGATATATATAAATACACACATGAAACATTCTAGATATATATATGGCAATAGAAATAACTTGGGTTTCTTTTTCATCCTTCATATTATGAACAAATATTTCATCATTGATAAGACACTACATTCCTGTCCAGTTCAAACATTCAGTGGTTGCTGGCAACGGGGTTCCGCGAGAATCTGTGGAGGGAGGTTCGCTGTTTCCATGTGAATCAGCAGCATCATTTTGGTTCCTTTTATACCACCGGCTCCTAGTGCTGTAGCGATTAATACAGTTCAAGATACAATTTATTTCATTTGGTTCGATTCTTGTTTAGAAAATCCTGAAATTTGAGTTAATTCATAGTAAGCATATATACTGACTATACATAAACTTATTTATTTTACAACAATTATGAAACAAGTTTTTACAACTTATAGTAATCATTCTTGTTGGCCCGGATGTTAGCATGCAGGGGATCTTAATGTGGGAGGAAAACAGAATACCTGGAGAAATCAATGTGATCGGGCAGGTGACCCCATACCTTTTTTAGGTCCGATTGGGGAAACAAACCCCGGCGGCCTTGGTGAAAGGCAAGTGCGCTATCCACTGCACCACCAACCACCTATAAACCAACTTAAAATGTAGTATTAATAGTTATTTTCATCGGTTAATATTGCCAATATTAACATTCACAGCCAAAATAATTGAATAAAAAAAATTCAGAAGAACCAAAATAATCAAAAATCCATCAAATTGTAACTACAGTGAATTGTTACAGCCCTACTGGCTTCTTGCCCCATTTAACTCCAATGTTTTGTTTTTGCCATGAAATCACTTCTTTTAATAAAAAACAAAATTAATCATCCATATTTTCTATTTGAAAATAATAGCTGGTTTCCCTCAAACTTTGAAATAGGGTCAAGAACATCAGAGCAAAATCTGAAAGTTTCTCGCAATAACATTTTTGAATAATTTCTAATACTTTCATATTCATATAAGGTAATAAGACAAAAACAAATTTATTGGAAAATTAAGTCTGAACTTTTTTCTAAGAAATTGGGGCCAGGATTCCAGGCTCTTCCCATTACATTTTATCTGTACATTTCATAAACTGATGATCCTCAGAAAAAACACAGGATCAGATATCCCAGACTTTACACACTGTAGTCCAAAGCATCTGTGAAGCAATCAATAGAAAATGCTGTCGTCACCATGAATATAAACTGAATTCACTTTAGAGAATATATCCAAGTTATTATGACACTATGAACAGCCAATCAGGAAACAGAAGAGATTCAGCCGATGATGATAAGTTTTAAAATTGCCACATTAGGTCACATGGCTACAGTTTAAACGATGTATCAACAATCAGAGGAGAACACACTTGTGATTTTTCGTTCTAATTGGCTGAGGTTGTAGGACTGCTCTGCATGCTTCATCGAATACCTGTAATTGTACATTAACAAACATTACTCAACCCTTCTATAAACATCAAATAAATGTAAATTGTACATTAACAAACATTACTCAACCTTTCTATAAACATCAAACAAGAGGCACCGGGGCCTTAATAGCTCACCTGGTATTTTATTTTTCAATTTAAAACCTGCTGAGTACCATACAGGTTTATCAAAGGAGTACAAGAAACAAAGTTGCAAGAAGAACTACATATAAATCTGTTTTGGTGGGAAAGACACCAAGAAAATGAGTTTCCATGTTATGTCCCAATTTTCCTCCATTTCCCCTATTGGTAAACTTTAAATCCCTTCATTTGTACAGAAGGGAAAATATTTTTCTCTATTTCTCCTATTGGGCCATGCTCCTCTGCTGGGGGGGGGGGGGGGGGGCGGGACATCTTCCATTTATAAATATTCAATTCCCTTTGCCCAAAGATGCTCTAAAATCCCTTCAACGGTACAGAAGGAGAAGGATCTTTAATGTTTTCCTCTATTTCCCCTGATGGTCCCCATTCATCTGCCCCAAAGAACGGGGTCCACACACCTCAGCTTAAACAAAATTGATTCTTTCGTCCCTAAGCATGCTTCAGACTGCATTTGGTTTAAATCCCTTTGTTTGTATAGTTGGAGAAAAAAATCCCTCTATTTCCCCTATTGGGCCCCGCCCCATGCCCCTAGAGGGGCCACACCCTCCATTTATACAAACTTGAGGATCCTTTGTCCAAAGATGCTCTAGAACAACAAAATCCTTCTATTGGTTGAGAAGAAGATTTTTAAAGATTTACCTATTTTCCCCCTATTTGGCCCCGCCCCTCTGCCCCCAGGGGGGGCCATACCCTCCGTTTATACAAAACTGAGAACCCTTTGGGCAATGATGTTCCACACCAATTTTGGTCAAAATCCCTTCATCGGTACAAAAGGAGAAGGATCTTTGATGTTTTCCTCTATTTCCCCTAATGGGCCCCACCCATCTCACCCTAGAAGGGGGCCCACACACCTCAGTTTATACAAAATGTATTCTTTTGTCCCTAATCATGTTTAACTCTTTCCGTACCGCAACCCCGGTCCGGATTCTGTACCGGACGTACTTATTAGACTCGCCCCCGCGCATATTACAAAATGGCGGATTTTTAATGTACTTTTTAGACTAGGTGTAACTGCCGCAAGAATTAAACAGGTAACCGTGAACAAATATTGTTATTGTTTCATGTTCTGGTTCATAGACAAACACTTCTTAATTTTCGCAGTATAATGACTAACTGGCAGCTGATTATGACTGAGAAATCGACATTTGCCTGGCAATAAACGATACGATTCCTTGTATTTAACACAGCGTTGTAGTGCAGGTTTCCAATGGGGTTTGATTATGATTACGAATGTGGAGTCGTTGATTTTTTTTCTAAATACCAAGTAGATTTCATCAAGACTTATATTAGAATATTCAAATTTACTTCCATAATTCTCAACAACTATCTGATGATGAATTTACGAGTGTTCGTATCGAATTAGGTTTCCGCCATCTTGTTTACATTTGAGGCACCAAACGCAAACATCTTGCGGCAAATGCGAAAACTTTAAGTCACATAATAAAAAAGTTTACTCTGCACAACTAAAATTATTTCTTCCAAACCGATGGGTTCTGATTTTAGCGACAATTAATTGTTTTTTCGCGACAGTCTCGTGCGATAACCAACTAAACATCAGGCAGGTTACATCAGAGTCTCTTGTCGTGTGTACACGACAAAGGGGTTGAGACGGCCCTTTATTTTGTCATCTGTACACGACAACGGGGACCAGGGTGACATATTGTTGTCGTGTGTACACGACAACGGTACGGAAAGAGTTACGACTGCATTTGGTTTAAATCCCTTCACTTGTATAGTAGGAGAAAACAAGAGATCCCAGAGAGGGATCTTGGCGCCCACCTTTGTACCATCTTCATTAGTTCTTTGTCAGTTCGATCTTTTCTCTTCTTTCCTCTAATCTGTTTGATCGAGTCATGTTAACAGTAAATGCACCTTGAGGTAACTTTTGATCTAAACTTAATACTGATGTGTATGAAAGCCAACCTTCAAAGTGTGTTTGTCATTTCACATATTTACTAGTACAGTACTTAATGTGAAAGAAACAGAATCGATCATTGCAATATGAGAAAGATCTGTTTAGTTCTTCTTTTAATCCATTTTGTTTTTATGATCAGTCTCAAAATATAACATACACAACGAGGGATCAAGGGGACCCTACATTTAAAATTTGAGAAAGATCCCAACCGTACCTCCCGAGAAATAGCGATAACAAACTTTCATTATCAAAATCCAAGATGGCTGCCTGTCGGCCATGTTGTTTATCCATCAGTCTCAAAAGTTGCATTGCACAGCTCAGGACCAAGGGGAACCTACATATATAATTTGAGAAAGATCCCTCCGATACTTCTCGAGAAATAGCGATAACAATCTTTCAATATCAAAATCAAAGATGGCTGCCTGTCAGCCATGTTATTTATCCGATCAGTTTCAAAAAAATGCCCTGCACAGCTCAGAACCAAGGGGAACCTACATATATAATTTGAGAAAGATCCCTCCGAGACTTCTCGAGAAATAGCGATAACAATCTTTCAATATCAAAATCAACCCCCGCTGCCTGTCAGCCATGTTGTTTATCTGATCAGTTTCAAAAAAATGCCCTGCACAGCTCAGAGCCAAGGGGAACCTACATGTAAAATTTGCGAAAGATCCCTCTGGTACTTCTTGAGAAAAAGCGATAACAAACTTTCACTATCAAAATCCAAGATGGCTGACTGTCGGCCATGTTGTTTATCCGATCAGTCTCAAAAGTTGCATTGCACAGCTCAGGACCAAGGGGAACCTACATATATAATTTGAGAAAGATCCCTCAGGTACTTCTTGAGGAATAGCGATAACAAACTTTCACTATCAAAATCCAAGATGGCTGCCTGTCGGCCATGTTGTTTATCTGATCAGTCTCAAAAGTTGCCCTGCACAGCTTAGGACCAACGGGAACCTACATATAAAATTTGAGAAAGATCCCTCTAGTACTTCTTGAGAAATAGCGATAACAAGAATTGTTTACGGACGGACGACGGACCACGGACGCAGGGTGATTTGAATAGCCCACCGTCAGATGATGGTGGCCTTAAAAATCCTCTATTTCCCCTAGTGGGTCCCACCCCTCCGCCCTCAGAAGGGCCTCACCCACCGTTTATACAAACTTATAAAAATTCATAATAGATCCTATTTCTGTATTGTAGATATACACAAAACAATTCAATTTAAAACAATATGTCCCATATATATATATTCCCATCAAAGATTTCTGTTCAACTTGCTTCATGAAATTTGAAGCAAACAAGTGGACAAAGTGACATCCAGGAGGGGAATAGTGATCCTAAGTTACCATTGCATAAAATGGAGATACATTTTTGGAAGTCATTCTTGTTTTAATTTCAATTTCAATTCAATCAGCTAAAACATCTAAGCATGAGTATGGTTAAATGTGTATGCTAAATAGGTCTATCAACGACATACATGTCTACATCTGTAGATGAAATACATGTTTGTATATAAGTGATATGTCATACAGCCCTCTGAAGTTATCTGTACTTTGCTAGAGGGTCATTACACATTTTTTATGCAGAAACTTGCCTGTTTTAATCCACGTTGTGTGAGAGCTGAACATTCCATATACTTAACGGCGTGGATTTTGTTTGCGAGTTTGATGCCGTGTTCCCGTTTCACAGGCTGTAAACCCTGAGATGCCAGTTGTCCAATGGCGTCCTTGTTTTCTCGAAGATCTATTTTTGTACCTGGAAAGACAATTTTTATTATCAAACTGGAAAAATGAAATTACCAAACATAATCTTTTTTCATTTGTCCAAGCAAGTTACCATTGGTCATATGAACATTTCAGAGATGGAAAATTTGCCAACCATGAAAATGACACTTTGTAGGTTTAGCCTGACATTGCAAGAGAACTTTAACTTGGTTTTTAGTACAGTTCAATTCTTTACAACACTCTGAATATGTTTAATGATTTGTCCTATAAAGAGGGCTCAGGGGTGTAAGATAGGGAAATTCCACCCGAGGGTTTTTCAAATTTGGTGAAACCCAAGGCTTTGCCGAAGGTTTTGTGAAATTTGAAAAGTGTTATTTCCCTATATAAACTATAGTAAACTTTACCCCCTCCCCAAGGGAGAACGGATAGCTCGGGGGTCCTGAAATTAACAATTTAAATAAAGCCCCTGATGATCTTTCCATCCATGCAGAGAAAATGACTGTAATACCTCTGAGTATGGAGAAGATTTTTGAAATATTGATTAATTTTCCCTTTTGGGCCCCGCCCTGGCCCCTAGGGTTGGGGTAGGAATCCAAATTTTACAATTTGGTATCCTCATCTACCAAGGATGATTCTGACCAAGTTTGAAAAATTCCATCCACTGGTTCTTGAGAAAAAGTTGATTATGTAAAAATTTACGCATGATGCATGACGGACGACGACGGACGAAAAGTGATTGGAATAGGTCACTAGAGCAAAGCTCAGGTGACCTAATAAAGCTACCCGTACCTATGATATAACTCAGGTGACCGCTAAGGCCCTTGGGCCTCTTGTTCTTTAGTAGGAATGAAAGGATTTGTTCCATATTTGGTCTGAAGCATCCTTGGGCGAAGGGGACTTAGTTTTGTATAAACCGGTGGTCTCGCCCCCGAGGGGCCTGAGGGGCCTGAGGGGCGGGGCCCAATAGGGGAAACATAGCAAATTATTCTTTAAAATCCTTCTTATTCTGTAGGAATGAAAGGATTTGGTCCATATTTTATTTTATTTTATAGTTTATACAAAATAGGTTCCCCTTCACCCAAGGGTGCTTCATCCCAAATTTGGATAAAATCCTGTCATTCCTACAGAAGAAGAATTTTGAAGAATTTGCTATGTTTCTCCTATTGGGCCCCACCCCTCTGCCCCCAGGGGGTCAGGCCCAACGTTTATACAAAATATAGTCACCTTCACCAAAGAATGCTTTACACCAAATATGTACAAAATCCTGTCATTCCTACAGAAGAAGAATTTTAATGAATTTGCTAAATTACCCCTATTGGGCCCCACCCTCTGGCCCCAGGGAGGTCAGACTCACCATCTATATAAAATTGATTTCCCTTTCCCATAGGATGCTACTGTTCAAATTTGGTCAAAATACCTTCATCCCAACAGAAGAAAAAGAATATTAAAGCTATTCCTCTATATCCCTTATTGGGCCCGCCTCTCTGCTCCCAGGGGGGTCAGGTTGGTTCCCCTTCACCAAAGGGTGCTTCATATCTTTGGATAATATATAACCTGTCATTATCCTGTCGTTTCTACAGAAGAAGAAGGATTTTGAAGAATTTGCTCTATTTCCCCTATTCGGCTGCCCCTCTGCCCCAAGAGGGGCCACACTCACTGTTTATACAAAATTGAGTCCCCTTGGCCCAAGGAGGCTCCAGACTAAATTTAAATAAAATCCCTTAATCCCTATGGTAAAAGAAGGATTTTTAAGGTTTTACCTCTATTTCCCCTAAAGGGCCTGCCCCTCTGCCCCCAGGGGGGGGGGGGGTTCACACCCAATGTGTATACAAAATTGAGTCCCCTTGGCACAAAGATGCTCCAGACTAAATTAGAATAAAATCCCTTAATCCCTACGGTAGAAGAAGGATTTTAAAGGTTTTACCTCTACTTCCCTTATTTGGTCCTGCCTCTCTGCCCCCAGGGGGGCCACACCCACCATTTATACAAAATTGAATCCCCTTGGCCTAAGGATGCTCCAGATCAAATTTAGTCAAAATCTACTTGGCCGTTTAGGAGTAGTAGCGTTTTAAAGGAAAAGTTGAAGGACGGACGACGGACGCTTCAGTTTGGCATAAGCTCAACATGGTCCTTCGGACCAGGTGAGCTAAAAATGATGGGCTGCATGATACCATGCTGTATAAGCCGGTGGTCCTTTGGACCAGCTGAGCTAAAAATATTTTACCCATATATATGTGACCTTGAAGAATGGTCAAGCTCATTTATATGAGGAAATTTATAGCAATTCATACCACTTCCTGGCCAAATTACATGACTCTGGACCATTTTTGTTTAAAGAAGAAGTTGTTTCAATAAAAATGTTGATGCGAGGTGACAAACACCAGGAGAGAGGCTCATACTCTTTTCAAGCAGCTGAGCTATTCCTACTTCCGATGATGTCTATTACGGTCTCAACACTTGCTTCCACATGCACCCCTGCCAGTTATATCCCTTCCCACCATTCTGTCTTCCCTGCAACACATTACCGACTAAAAGTACAGGAGCATCAGGACAGTGATGTTTGACCTCCGGGTTCCACTTCGTCGTCACGTTTTCGTACGAGGAGGGACTCACAACACTGAAGCAAATCAGGAATACATCCGTCTGGAAAATAGGAAGAAAGAAAATAAGCGGCTTTTATACCCAACTGCACATGTAGCTCTACCAAACTTTATATACAGCATATGTGTATGTCTATTTCAGTATGAGGTATACAATGGTGGGCGACACATAAAATTACACACCTGTGGGTAGGAAAGTGGCCGAAGTCTATCATAATCTTCCTGACCAGCAGTATCCCACAGCCCGAGACTGACCGGGACCCCGTCCACCATCATATTAGCTGTGTAGTTATCAAACCTGTAAATACAATCAGATTTTATTTGATAACAGACCTAGAGATTTTTCTCAGTGACTTTAGTATTAGTGTATTAGAAGTATAGACTATAGAAGTATGATTTGTGTATTGGTACCTTGCAAATGATCATAAAGTAACCGCAATAAGTGTCCAGGGTGCTTGAAATATTGGCTGGGTTGTTAAAGGTTTAACATCAGATGAACAGCTTAAGTCATTTAAGGGCTGAAGAGGGCGCTTATTAAGATAACAGAACATAGGTTATGGCAGTTGCTGAAGAGGCAACAAAATTATCAGACACATTTGAAGGGAGAGTTTCAAAACTATTCTAAACCACTCTGAAACAGACTTGTTAGATTGCAAAACAGTAGTTTTTAATATAAAGTATATAGTACTTTATTTTGTTAACTTGAGAGGATCTTATTACAGCAAATTTGTTATGTATTAGATCAATCTAATTAAAATTATATCTTCACATCGCTCCCATTTACTAATATATGTCGCGTTGAAGATCTAACAACATCCCATAGAGGGTCATGTTCAGGCGACCTTTGCATTAACCAATCACATGAGAGCTTACGCATTTCTGTAAGTGATGATGTAATGATTTCGGAACACACTTGCTATGATAAAAGACCGAGAGGTGTCAAATGAGCATCGAAAATGGCGGTGCCCATGACACCACGCCGTGTCGATCTACAAGACAACGTTTGTACAATTTGTGGATTTTGCTTTGAAATAAGAGAGACTTCCTCTTCTGGTGATGTTGTCGTTAAAAAGTTTAACAACCTGAAACTAAAATTAACCTATGACAGGCTTCGCAATATTCAAACTATCACTGGACCAGTCGAAAAATGGATTTTGGGCTACGAGGTGTCTGCATTAAATGCTACAGGTCCTGCTTTCTGATTGGTTGAATGAAAGAGTTATGTCGCGCTTTGATTAGCTTGTTATAAATGCGATAATGCATTCATGTTGACCTCTGACGTGACCCTCTACGGGATGTTGTTAGATCTTCAACGCGACATATCAGTAAACGGGAGCGATGTGAAGATATAATTTTAATTAGATTGGTATTAGATGTGTTGATGTAAATATCTTTGCATGATCAGGAATAATGCAACAACATTTAAATAACATTACTGCAATACTTCTACATGTAAAATGGTTTGAACTAGCACAGTATATGTAGTAAACACTGATTTTTCTACCTTTCCTCAGGGCCTGTTTGCCTGAAACTTATGCATACTTTACAGTTTCAATAATTCTTTTAAATTGTGATGATGGCTTACTTATTTCACTATCAGTTTGGAGGCAAACAGTGGTTTTGGGAAAATATCGAGTATTCAAATGAAAGGCAGAAAATTGACCCCAAATATCCATCTATATACTGTGAAATCACTAACTTTTGTGAGGTTTTTAATTTTATTGATTTCTTAGGTAATCTTCATTAACAAATTCATAGGTCCATGAAGTAATTTTATATAAAGCAATTCTCCTAATGATTGGATACTCGTAATCCACAAATTCATGTACCTATGAACGATGTATACCATGAACAAATTCATTTGGACCCCACAAAAATATCTGATTTCACAGGACTGCAATTTCAAGACCTAGTTTAATCAAGAGGCCCAATTGGCCTGCATCGCTCACCTAGTATTAATCTCACACTTGTAACCTAAAGGCAAAATATCAGTATTTATGACTACAAGTCCTTCAAAAGAACCTGTTAAAAGATTTTAAAACATTTCAGCCCTGTGACCTTGAAAGTCGAACAAGGTCATTACGTTGAACACATTTTATAGCCCTTCATCTCAGGATGCAACTTGCAAAATATCATAACCCTATATCCTTTTGTTTATTGAGATTAGGTCATTTAAATGTTTATACATATTTGACCAAATGTGACCTTGAAAATGGGTCATGATCAAGGGCATTCCAAACAAAAAAGCTTGATAACCCTTCATCTATGCATGCTACTGGCTAAATATCAACATCCTGGCCATTTTGGTTATTCAGAAGAAGTTGTTTAAACATTTTCAACCTGTTTGATCCCTGTGACCTTTAATATAATTCAAGGTCTTTCATTTGAACAGACTTAATTGGAAGCCCTTCATCCCAGCATGTTATATATATTATATATATCCAAATTGTTAGTTTCAGAGGAGATATCATTTGTAGGTTTTGCACTCTGACCCCTTATATAATTATGGCCCGACCTTCAACCCCCACCCCACCCCTCTCTTAGGTTAGGCACCTCTTGAGTCTAGATTCTGATCCCCACCTCAGACTGATGATTACCCAAATTTTTCATCAAAATCAGACATTAATTTTCTGAGAATTCCAAAATATGTTTGTTTACTGGTGACAGACAAAAGACAATCACAGTGACCCAAGTGACTCATCATAGATCAGATGCCTTAATAACAAAGCAAAATTTTCAGATTTTTTATCTTTTAACTGCATAAAATACCTACTCTGGAAAAACAATTTGCAAGTGTTTACATAGATATCCATTCATGTAATAGCTGCAGTTACCAAAAACATCTGGTAATATTTTCTTGGCAAATCAAGCCTAGGAGCTTAGACAATTTGAATGCACTGTTTGTTGATGTCTAGCTAGCCAATTTTTCTACATAATTCCAGTAAAATAATGCTGCACTATCAAAATTGTACACATTAAAATAAACTTCCGCCTTCATTACAAGAAGAAATGCTAGGGCAATATTCAGAGATTCTGTCAAGTTTTCCGAGATTGTTTAAATTTATGAGGCAGCAATGTAGTTTCCATTTTTCTTTTTTTTTGAAAGCTTGTCAAAAACAAATTAGAAATGTATATACATACATACTGCATACTGTGCCTGGAGCAGCAACAAGATACACTTACACAGTAGGGACGTATTCCCCAGGGAAGCTGTCCGTTGTGTAGGAGATGAGCATACAGGTTTTGCCAACAGTACCATCGCCAACTACTACACATTTGATAGGCCGGCCCTGTGCCATGCTGTCCGACAAATGGTTACTAATAATCACAGACATCCGTCAAATTTCTGTCAGATCTGCAAGGAATCAAGCAAAGCATCAATTAACATGTGGTCACATGCAAATTTAAATATCCTCAGGAAAAACCCCAGAGGAACATTTTTTGTTGAAACATAATAATGATTTTCATTAAATGGGGCTGTGCTTGTGAAATTGTTTTTATTGCAATTGTAGATGAGTTTCTATCTCAAAGTGAGGTTCTAGGCAGTTCTATTTTTAGTAGTATTGACCTTGACCTTTGACAACCCACAACCAACAATAATAGAATACTTCTTCCCCTCTAGGGCAGTCAACATTGAAGTTTGCAGAACCATTTGTTCTGAAAATATGCTTTGACAAAATTCCATTTTCAGTAATTAAGCTCAAAAGAGTGACCTTGGCATTTGATGAACCATGCCCACAATCAACAGTGTACATTTTGTTGTATTTCCTCTTTCCTACTGGGTATATGGGTCAACCACACACAAGTCTTAGCTATTAAGGGTTATCAGTTGTTCTAAAGGTATATACAGATAAGAAAATTTATGTATTTTAATTAACAGTGACCTTGACCTTTGAACAATTGTGTCCAAATTCAACAGGGTTCTTGCAACCTACACCAAGTGTGAGTTTTATGTGATCATTCATTCTGAATTTAGCATCCAGACAAATGATTTTTTATGTGAAATTCTGTTATTATTAGTTAAAGCAACTTTAATTTGACCTTTGGCTGACTGTTTAAAATCAACAGAGTTTTCTTCTCTAGGGCAACAAACATACCAAGTTAAAGCTTGTAAATAAAATGTTTCCCCCCTCCCGCCCCCAATAATTTGAACATTACTGTAAAAGAAAGGAGATCAATTAATCATATATATGTAGATTAGGATTTTTGGCCTGTCTCAACACTTTTAAGATTAATAATATTAGTGCTAGTAATTGTTCGCATAATTCATGCTGCATTCCTTAGTTTTCTTAGCATAATAGTGAAGTTAAGCTTATTCCGGTACAGGATTTGAACAATGCCCTTCACCGGACTCTAAATCATACAATTGTTACAATAAGAACACTATATTTTATCCTATAAAAGTTTTAATTTTACCTTATTTAAAACTAAATTGCAAATATCTAGTCCTATGACAAATACTTGCAAAGAGGAAATTTAATAATTTATGCATACAACAATAAAGTCCTCTGTCATATTTCTGTTGAAAACAATCTGTATAAGGGAGTAATATATTAATAGACAAATCAACAAGGTTACCGCGAGCGGTATATAATATGCCCATCACACATTGAATGAGCAGTTGTTTGTATGATTGAAATATATGAAGTGTTTGTGAGTAATTGATATTAAAAGAGAAATCATTCAACATAACTGGTAGATCAATGAGTGCAATACAACATCATGGAACGCATGCATCGCATTAATGAAACCAAGGGGAATAACTCCAATAATTACGGTCGGATAATAATGGTTATCAAACTTGTCCAAGCTTCTACGGAAATTAACCTCGTCATAAATTTTGAAGTTAATTCATTAAAAATATTTAGGAATAATTGTTGTTTA